TTTGTTCTTTCTGTTTGGCTAAATGGTGCCATCAAGTCTGGGACTTTTCCTCAAGAAAATATGAGTCACTTTTTATGATTTAGGTATGTCCACATAAAGCCACCATACGCTTCTTAACGAAAGAAAGAATGAAACTTGTTAAATAAAATCAGCTTGTATCAAGTTTGATAATAATTTCACAGTAATGCTACGAGAAAGCAGCACAACTAACCACTGTATCAAATGAGATTTTGTGTTGAGCACTTCTAAAATATTTTCTTCCAGATCCTTCAAAATCTTTTAAATCTTTCTAACCATTGATTCACAAAGATGCACTTCAAGGTTCCATTTAAAAACAGGACAAACTGATGATTTCCTGATGCAGAGAAAAGAACCTTAGAACTGGAATTAGAGAATTCACATTTGCTTACTAGCTGTGAATTTGAACATATCACATAACTTCAATAAATCTCAGTTTCCTCACTTATAGAATGGCAGTAAGATTTATGTTACAAGGGTTGCTTCAAGATTAAATGAGATAATAGGTCTTCAAAAAATAGACTTCTTTTAATTTACTCCTCTGACTCCACCTCTACTTGGTCTTGAATGAATTGGTTATAATCCAGTTTAGAATCAGCCAACAGAAGTTCTCTGATTCTAAAGTTTTATAATGAGAACTGGATTACCTGATTTTGAGGATTATGCATGGCCTTTCCTCTTCCTATTCCTTTCTGTTCATCAGTCATTTGCTATACACTAGCACACCAGGGGGCAGGCAGAATAACAGAGAGGACATGGTAGATCACTTATGAAATCTGCTAAATGGATAAATTAAGGAGTAAATGAGGTGAAATCAAATAGTTGGGTTATATTTTAAGAGATATAAAGAGAGTCTGGTCAGAGTATAGGAGAATCATGAGGAGCTCTTCAAGTGGGCAGAAAAATGGCATCTGAATTTAATGTAATCAAGGTCACTTAATGAAAAAAAAATTCCAAATTTTAGCTTTAAAATAACAGACTAGAAAAGGATCCTGGGAGTGACTGCTGATCATTTTCCAAAGACAGCCCAGTTTCCTTCTATTGAAAAAAGGCTGCATAGTTTTGAGTATCATCAAAAATAAAGAAAACATAAAGTTATCCCACTCATGAAGAAGGCTGTGGATCCACTGCCCCTAAAATATTTATTTTAGCTCTGTTTGTTCCAACTCCAGAAAGACAGCCAGAGAAAAGAAGCCAAATTGGCAGATGAGAGGAAGACTAGAAAACATTACAATTCTTAGAAAAGAGTCATAGATTCTTAGAATTGGAATTATCCTTAAACATCATAAATACCAATTCCTTACGCTTCCAGAATTCTCCTGATAATCATAAATAGTAATCAAAGGTCTATTATATGCTGGGGACTGACTAGAATCATTCCCTTTTATTGCAGCCTTTGTCCAAACTGTCACCTTAAACAGATCTCAAATACATCCACTTATCTCCACTGCCATCATCTGGCCCGTCATTTTTCTCCCTCGTTTAGTCTACTGCAGTAGCATCCTAACTGGTTACCCTCTTCTACTTCTGCTGCTCACAACCATGTTCAAAGTTCCCAATCCACTGCTACAGAGTGATCTTAAAACACAAATTAAATCATGCCATTGGCTTACTTAGAATACTTCAATGATTCTCCATCTACTTTAGGACCAAGTCCAAAATAATAAACATGGTCCTGAATAATTTGGCTCCTGCCTCCTTCACTAATACCACCTAATACTGCTTTTCCCTTGGTTCACCAAGGTCTATCCACACTGGCTTTCTTTCAGTTCCTCAAAACAGTTAAATGCTTTCCCATTTAGAACCATCACATATAAGAATAACCACCACCACGGCCATTACAGCTAACATTTATCAAGTTTTCACTATGTGACCAGCTCTGTGCTAAGTGCTTTAAGTGCATTATCATGTTTAATCCTCATAAGAAACTCTATGAGGTAGTTATTATTTTCATACTTTTACTGTTGAGAAAACAAATATTTAGAGAAATTAAGTGACTTGTCTAAAGCAAGGCAAGGGGCACAGGTGGGAAGTATGTTATACTGCATATTCCAGGAGGAGTTTTGTCCCCCCCACTCTTCCCAAGCTAACTCATACCATTCTTTACGGTCACAGCTCATACGGCATTTCAAAACAGTCTTCTCTCATCTCCTGATCTAAATTTGGCAACTTTGTCACAGTCTCTTAAAATTTTCATCTAGAGAATGTATTACAGTTTATAATTATATATTTTATGTGATTATTTATTTAATGTCTGTCAAACCTCTGATAGACTACAAAGTTCATGAAGGCAGGGATCAAATGTTCAATGAATGTGCCTGAATATAAATACCTGCTGAACAAATGATTGCAGAAAGTCATCCAAATCTAAGGGTGAGGTGTTGAATCACTCTATGGAAGAGTCTGAGTGTTAGGAATTCTATTAAAATATTCTTGCCTACAAAAAATTCTGTTCCCTTATAATGTCTATCCCTTATAATGTCTGTTCCCTTATAAGGCCTATATACTGATTTTAATTCTGGTCTCTTGACCAATACTGAAAGAGTATATTCTCTTCCCTTTTACAGCTCTTCAAATGCTTTCAGCCTAGAGAATTAAAGACAGAGAGGGCTGGCAATTAAGTTGGGATAATTCCAGGTTTATTCATAAAAGAATGCTAGAACGTAGAGGATAATTTCTTTGAAATTAGAGATTTAGGGCACATTTATAGAAATTAATTCTTTGCCTATAGTAAGTAAATGCAAGAGGTATATAGACATGAGATGGGACCACTGTGTTTGGAACTCTCTGTCACAAATCGGGTTCTAATTTGTATGAATCTAGAAAGGAACAAAACTGGAGGAGGCTATTAAAAGGGAATTAAATGACCATACAAAAAGTTTGGGAAAAATAAAAACTAGCTATGCAATTACAACTAACCTTAGATATCCCCAAATTACAAGACTGACATCATGAAGTGCAATCATATTTTCCCATATCTCTTGAGAGTTTTAACAGAACTCTGGATTAGATGAACTATATTTCTAAGTTTCTGAAATTAACACGATAAAATAGAAGTTGGGAATTATCAAGAGTCAAAAATATTCTTCAGGCATTTTATATATCTTAATTAATTCAATATAACCACTAGAGTTTTTTAAAAGCCTTTATCTCCCATCCTTAATGAGGAAGATAGAACCTCAAAGTTGGAAAGGTCCTTTTGTTTCATAACTTATCTGAACCTCTCTATAAAATCTCGGCCAAGTGGCTTTCAGCTAATATTAAAATATCCCCAGCTATGTTAATTAACTTGATGGAAGTGGGGGGATCCTTTCACAGTATATCTATCTATATATATATATATATGTGTATCAAATCATCACATACATTTTAAATATCTTAAATTTTATTTGTCAATTATACCTCAATAAAGCTGGAAAAAAAATCCCCAGCATGGTATAATGCTTTGGATTTTGAGATCTGGATTCTGAGTTTGGAGCTATGGGTTTAAATCTTAGTTCAGCTATTGATCAGCTATGTAACTCTGAACAGGTTACTTACTGTGCTTCAGTTTCCTCATTTCAAAAACTGGAATAACAAAATGTGTCTTTTAAAATTGTTTGAGAATTAAACGAAATTCCACAATATAAAATATCACATAGCATTATGCCTGGCACACAGCGAATGGTCCATAATTGTTAATTTCCCTCCAATAACAGAAATCTGCTACCTGCCAAAATAGTCCATTTCCTCTTTGGACAGCACCAGTGATGGGCTCCTATACTATGTGGAACCAGTCCAACATTATTAAGCAAATAAAACGTAGAAGTTTGATATGTGTTATTTTAAGAAAAGATGTTCTTCATTGTTATTTTAAGTTTGGCTATAAATTTTAGTTTATATATATTTTTAAGCAATTTGTCACTCAGAAATGGCAGAATTTCATTTCTTTAAATTTTTAAAAATTTGAATGACAGAGAAATACAGATTACATTCATGCTTGATGAGAAACCTTGAATAACTGAATTGATATAAATACTCCATTGAAATTTCCCTTTTGGTTAAAAAAATATTCATCTTCTAGTGACTCAGGATTAAATGGTATGGCAATAATCTTTTAAGACTAAATGGATCATCTCCCTATTTTTATTAATAATTAGTGACAAAAATTAAGAGTATCAGAAATGTATTGCTGTTTTACTACCAGGCTAGAAAATATATTCAATTATTTAAGCTCACAAAACAATTTTTAAGAAAATTTATTTTTATTTAAGTTGTAAGATAGGTTATAGAAAATTATATTTGCTCATTTAACCTATTAAATAAATATTGTTATTAAACAGTATGACTTTCTTTGTGACAACCCAGCACACTCTGTAGATAAAGTCACTTGCCTTTCATTAATTTAATTCACCACTTTATGTGTTATGTAGGTTCATTTGTTAGAGAATATTGTAGCTGACTTGTCCCATAGAAAAAAAGAAAATTACCCCTAACATACCTGATTCAAATACAACATGAAGCCTCCTACTTCCTCAATAATGTAAATTTAAACAAGCCAAACTTTCGAGGAAAGAAATTATGTTTCCCAATGACTTACCTCATGGTTTACTCCAATCTTTCAAATACAAAGAAAAATATCTTCCACCTATTATAATATTTTATGGTTTGATAATTTGTAGCATTTTAATCATGAAAAACATTACGGTCAAATTTAGTTTGAGATGATCAGAACTAAATGTAAAGACCAAATATTAGATACAAGAATGTTCCTGAGATCACAAATGTGATTTATATTGGATAAAACTATCAGTATCTGTGTTTTCCCTCATTTCTCTTTTGTAGAGTAGGTTTTATTTGTCACATCACCAATGAATTTAAATTTGTAGTGGATAAGTATTTTGTATTCTGAATTTTATAAGCAAAGATCATGCTAACATGATTCCTAAAAATGCTCACAAGATGATTTAAAAGTTGAAGATAAGAGCATAAAATAAGCTTACTGTTTCACCAATCTTCCCAATGTTTCCTTGGTCTCCTACTTCTCCCTGTTAATAAAGAATATAAAGTTGCAAAAATGATTATTTTTCAAACAAGATTACTCTCAATATTGCTCCTGTTTTCATTTTAATGTAATTATCTAGTTATAACCTAGAAAATCACAAAGAAACTTTCAGTTATTCAAAACTCTTGTTACAGTATTTGTATGGAACGTAGTCTTTCCTGTATTTTCATTCAAATACTATTAACTTGTTTTCTTAAATTACATTCTTCTATTTATGACTTTTAATCACTTTTAAAACACTTTTACAAATAAAATTAAAAAAATGAAATATCTACTGAGGTATACTCTATAAATGGCAGAGTGGTAGGCTGCCACTGTAGAAGATACTAAGAAGAATGAAAATAAAGCCCTTGTGCGCAGGAACACTCTCTTTGCTTCATTAGATAAGGTATCTCACAATGCTGAGCAGAACAAGTAGAACAGAACACACACTACAGGTAAGTAGTAAAGGAGTTCCTAGGCGCAGGCACCCTGTGTGCGCGTGCAGCTAGAGCTGGCTTCACTGGAGAAGTAATGCATGTTCATAATCTTAACTGCAGTTCTGCCGTCCCTAAAGCTCTGAAAACCCAAAGTTTTTCACAACACATTTAGTGGCAAACTTAACCTAACTTGTGTTTATTTGATAATAATGCTTTTACCTGATCTGAGTGGGGCTACTTATAGTCTTGATATAGATTGATTAATCTGAACATCCTTACATTTCACCATAGAAATATCAATGTCTCTAATTATGGTTGTGCTGTCCCATAGCCTGCTGGCAGTGTTAAGTAAAATACAGTATGTATGTGTGTGTATATATATATATATATTACCTTTTTAAAATCCAAACATTAATGGTTTCAAATAATAAATTATGAAACTGTATTTGAGTTGGGCCCTGAAGAATAGGTGATTTTTACACTGGTGATGAGAAAGAGCCATTTTTAGTGGTGAGGAATGGCATGAGCAAAGGCTGAACAAAAGTACAGATTAATGAAAGTAGAAGATTAAGTTCAGGGTACCACATATAGTTAATCTGACAGGAATGTACATTTTATTTATACCAGAGATAGGAAATTAAACCATCAACTGCTGCTTAAAAATTATTATATTGCAGTGTGGGGTAGTTAAACTCACTGAACAATACTGTAGCCACTCATGATATGTAGCTACTCAGCATTTGAAATTAACTGGTCTGAACTGAAATGTGATGTAAGAATAATATACACACTATATTTCAAAAACTTTGTATAAAAAATCTCATTAGTAATTTTAATATTGATTACATGTTGAAATGATAATATTCTTATATCTTGGGTTACATAAAATATATTACTGAAGGGCTTCCCTGGTGGTGCAGTGGTTGAGAGTCCGCCTGCCGATGCAGGGGACACGGGTTCGTGCCCCGGTCCGGGAAGATCCCATATGCCGCAGAGCGGCTGGGCTCGTGAGCCATGGCCGCTGAGCCTGCGCGTCCGGAGCCTGTGCTCCGCAACAGGAGAGGCCACAACAGTGAGAGGCCCGTGTACCACAGAAAAATAAAAAAATAAAATAAATAAAATATATATATATATAAAATGAAATTAATCTCTCCTATTTTTCACTTTTTTTTTTTTTTTTTACTGTGGCTCACATCTGTGATTCGTATTACATACTCTATTGGATGGTGCTGATTTTAAGCACTGAAACCTAATATTCATATAGCTAATCAGTTTGAAATAAACTTTCAAAGACTAAAAATTTTCTTTTCTATTTCTGTACGCATTTAGATAAATAGTAAAGAATAAAACATTGTAGTAGTAGGTTGGAAATCCTAGTTTTTGACTGATAGTTCATTAGACAGCTTTTGTAGAAAATAATGTGGCAGGATTTTACGTATATACATACAAATATATACATAATATGTATGTGTATATATACATATATATAATTAATTTTCTTTTATTTTCTCCTCCTTACCCAACGCCCCTCTCAAATTCCAACTAGGGAGATGGACCCTTTGTGATACGTAGTCTTAAGGGAGGTCTGTGTTAACAGGCAGAAAACAAAAGTTGCTTGCAGATTACCCACATTCATGCTTTAGTTTTCAAAGAGCCTGAATGTAGGAGGTGAGTTGTCTTTGAGGGCAAAAAGATACAGAGAGGAATAATTCCCCAGGCCTAGGGAGAGAATAGAGATCCTAGAGTTCTGTGAAAGGCAGTGATCCTTAACCAACCCCCAAGTGCTCCCCCAGAGTGCCAGGTTCCCCTAAGGAAGTGCCAGGTCCTAGTGAACAGCTATGTAATACACCAAGGAAGAAATTTCAGAGACAAGTATGAGGACTGAACATTAAAGAACTTCCTTCACTTCCTAGGTAACACAGATGCCACCTAGATGCTGGTGTAATTCTAGGGAGAAGGCAGGATGTCAATAATGACTGAGATTGGTCTCCTGCCAGTTTGACTGGATGGTAGCTCACAGGTGGATTTCTTAGAGCTATTTGGCAGTACAGGGATTAAATACAGTAAAGGAGAATTAAGCCTTCTATTTATAAATATCGTGCTTCTATTTTCTGGGAGTTTTTCTATGTAACTTGAGAGTCAGGTACACATACTCTCCCAAGATAATTTCAGCAACAGACATGCTGACACAATAAAAAATATTTTAGCTCATATTTCTTTATTAATTGACCTCAAAAAGTGTTGTTTGTTTTTTTCCTTAGTTTCTATATCACAAAAACGAAGAGTTTAAAATAAATAATGAACTCTAGCTTTAGGAAATTTAGCAATAAATCTGTGATGCAATTCAATTTTTCATTGAATTTTAAATTTGTACAAATCACCAATTCTTATAAGTTACTTTCTTTCAGACCTTAATGCTGTACATACAAAGCCACTGCCTTACTTTATATTTGTTGGTGTTACAAAAAAAATCATACAGTACTTGAAAACAAAGCAAGAAAGTAGGTAACACATTTTTTCAATGTCATACAAGTATGAAGAACACCCAATGATTATGCAGGGTATGTGCTTACTTAGACTTACTGTATATTATTGATTAAAGGACCCAGACTTAGTGAAAGTACACACACACACATAAATTTTTTAAGTGAAGTTATAGTAACTTGTAGATTTCTATCCAGTGGAATAGACAGCCCTCAAAGTTATGGTTTATTGTCCTGTATCTGACTACACATCTGAACATTCCTTTACTAAAATGCATATCCAATTACATAGACATAGTTATAGTCATAGATACTTATAGACATATATACAGATATAGATATAAAGACATATAGCATTTCAAATGCTATTCAATATTTGAACAAGTTTTAACACTTGGTTCCTTCAATTAATGAGTTGAATAAAATCTTTGTCATGTGTTTATTTTATATTGTTACGAAAGTCATAACTTTATCTTTTTGAAAATTATACTTTGTAACTGGTAATAAAGTCAGTTGCTTTACCTTCAGGCCTTCTGGTCCTGATTCACCTGCATACCCCTTTGGACCTGGTTTTCCCTAGAAGAGAACAGGAAAAAAAAAAAGATATGTTTAATCATTCTCATTTTTGAAAGTTTCCTAATTTATGAAATTCAGACTATCCTACGAGATGAAACACTTCAAAATTATTAGATAAATGCATTTCATCAAACTCATTAGCCATTCATTCTACTATGTTTGACTGTCTACTTGCCATGCACAGCTCTAGGATAAGATAATTAAAAAAAATAAGTAAAATACTTAGTATGTTAGGTAGTGGTAAATTTGAAGAACATCAAATTAAGCAGGAAGGGAGATATAAACTGTTGTGGTAGTTTTGTTAAAATTTTTGGTAAGACTGCCAAAAAAGACCTCACTGAGAGGGTGGCAATTGAGTAAAGACTTTTAAAAAGGCACAAGTTACATGGATATTTGAAGGAAGAGCATTCCAAGCAGAGGTGAACAGCATGTGTAAAGGCCCTGAGGCAAGAATGTGCCTGTGTGTTGGAGAAACGATGAAGAGTCAATGCAGCTGGAGACAGTAAGAGAGGAGATGAGTAAGAAGGTGAGGGATAAGAAGGGAATGGGGGATATGAAGCCAGGTCATGAAAGGCCTGGCAGGTTACAGTAAGGGCTTTGGTTTTAACTCTCAGTGGCTTTAACTCTTAGCAGGCTTTGAGAAGAGAAGCACCAGGATCTGTGTTTTAACAGGATCACTCTGATGTAAGAGCAGAAGCAGGGAGTCCAAAGAGGAGTCTACTGCAATAATCCAAGTGAGAGACGATAGTGGCATTATCAGGGTGGGAACAGAGGCGGCTGTGAGAAGTGGTAAGATTCTGTATATAGTTTGAAAGCAGAGCTTCCAGGAATTGTTGATGGGTCATGTGTGGAATGTGAAAGAAAGAGAAGAGTCAAGAATGAACTAAAGAATGAGTTCATTCAGCTTTAACCTGACTAAAGGGCCAAATGAAATGAGGTAGACTGTGGGAGAACAGGTTTGAAGGGTAAATTGAAAGCTTAGCTTTGGACATTTCAGTTTGATAATCTTATTAGACATCTAAGTGGAGAGATCTTGTGGTAGTTAATACAACAGCAGAGCTTAGGGGTAGAAGGTTCTGAACTGAACATACAGTTTTGGAAATCACCAGCATTTTGATGGCATTTAAAGCCATAAGAATGGACCAGCTCATCTAGGCAGTGAGTGTAGATAGCAAAGAGCAGTCCGCAAACCAAGCCCTGGGGTACTCTAAAATTTAGAAGTTGAAGAAATGAGGAAAATATGCAAATCTGCTGCCAGAGAACTAGAAGGAAGATAATACAAGTGAAGAAAGCCTTTCCAGGAGGAGAGTGATCTTGTCGAATCTGAGGGATATAAATATTGAGTAATATGAAGACTGAGAAATGATCACTGAATTCAGCAACATGGAGGTCATTAATGACCTTCATAAGATCAACTGTTTCAGAGTGGTGGGGACAAGAATGGTTTCAGTAGATGGGGTGAGGAGAAAAATTGGAAAAAGCATGTAAATCCAATTCTTTTGAGAAGTTTTCCTGAAAGGGAAGGAGAGAAAAGTAAAACCTGGAAAGAAAACTGGAGTCAATACAAATTTTGTTTTTGTTTTTAAGCCAGAAGAAATAATAGTATGTTTATATGCTGATAGGATTGATCCATTAAAGAGAACAAAATTAAGATGTAGGAGAGAGTCGGGGAAATTGCTGGATCAATGTTCTTCAGTAGGCAAGATGATGTAGTATGTAGTGAATGAGTGGAAGTTTTGACCTTACCTAGAAAAATGGCCTGTTCATCCACTAACAAGAGAGAAGGCACAGTAAATGGCATAGATACAGGGAGGTGGGATTGAAGTGACGGTAGAAGCTTGTGAAAGTTCTCTTCTGATTACTTCAATCTTCTCAGGGAACTAAGATGCGAGGTAAAGGGCTAATAGAGGTAAATGGAGTTGAGGAGAAGTATAAAATAATGATTTAAAAATGTGAAAGTAAATGGCTATAGAAATAGAATTCAGAATGTTATCAAAGGGATAATTACAATGTTTTAAGCATGATGAGTAGGGATATGTGGTGATGAGAGAGATAAGGAGTAATGGAATGGCATTAGAATCAATGAATTGAAATTTCTCTTGGGACGGTAAGATTGGGTTACAAGAAAGAAGGCACCAGAAAGAAAGGGGATGATGGTTGGGGAATGAGAAGTTTAAATTTGAAAATGAAGAGGTTGCTCTTACTGGTAATGACAAGGTCAAGGGTTTCACCATAGCAGTAAGTAGCTGAAGAGAGTAGAGGATAAGTTCCCTGAAGGAGAGAAAGCCAATATCCTGGAGTAATCTACAGGAGGTGGTTTCTAATATCAAACAACTGATGTCTGATTATGCAAGATTTGATTAAGGAGATCACTATACCTCAACCAATGTGTTCTAGGAGTAGAAAAAGTGTGTGGGGAGATTGCTAAAAAGAATACTAATTTATAATATCTACTAGGCATTATATATTTGGATTTTATTACTCCTATTCATTAACAAGTACTCGCATATTTTTCTTTCTTAAAATAAAATAAAGCAAAACAAAACAACCCTCTGGCTCTCATTCTGTTTTGACTACTTACAAAAACTTCAGCAACTTAAAATTATATTTAGGACTTCCACCCAAAAAAGTTGTTCTAATTTTGGTCTCTGCCTTGCTTGAAATTGTCTAGTGGTTCCCTACCAAGCACAAAATAGAGCACAGGATAAAAAAAATTATCCTATTATTGTTAAATATCAATTGCTCTCTAATCAATTTGCAGATATAAAAGAAGAAATGTAGTTAAGAGTCTAAATCATTACAGGACTTTGATATTTACAAAATAATTAATAATACATTTTATTCACACTGTCTGGAAAAAGCCTTAGCAGGAATATTTCTTTCATCTTTAATAATGTAATACTCAGGCACTGCAGTATATTAAGAAATAGTTATACATCATTATCTACATTATGGAAAGAATCTCACTGGTATCAGGCATTGGCATATTTATAATCTCTTTGAAATCAAGCGATTCAGAGCATCAGTATTGGAGCCATCGCTTTTGGTCCTGTTTAAGTTCTGTCATATTATGGTTATCTTGAGCATGTTATGCTTAAGCATATAATATTAAAGCCTTATTTTTTTAAATCTAAAAATGCAGTCAATTTCTTGCAGGGTTGGTTTCAGATTAGGGATGATTCCTGTGACAAACTTAGAGCAACACTAGGCCTAAATTAATATTCAACCAATAGTAGCAACAATTAATAACAAATATTATGACCGAGTAGGCAAGAGGTGAACATGGTTTTCCTGTTTTCTAGGGAAGTAAATTTTAAATAAGGCCAATTATGCTGGAGCACAAATAACAATGGTCTTTCCATTATATAACTCACCTCACAAAAAATGAAAAAAAAATAACAAAAACAACTCTTCTTTTTCTTTCAATAAGAGAGTGGCAGTATATGTGCTAGTTAGGTAAAGGTGCAAAAGAAAGAATTACTGTCTCTTTAAATGTAAAAATACTGTAAGAACCTGTACAATATGATGTTCTCAAGTAAAGAGTGAGACGTATTTCATGTGAGTCTAATAATGCCTCTTAAAATGTGTTGCACACAACTTAATTACTTCATGATATTGTAAACTTTTGTCATGCATCCCCAAATTCTTTTTTTTTTTTTAACATCTTTATTGGGGTATAATTGCTTTACAATGGTGTGTTAGTTTCTGCTTTATAACAAAGTGAATCAGTTATACATATACATATGTTCCCATATCTCTTTCCTCTTGCGTCTCCCTCCCTCCCCCCCTCCCTATCCCACCCCTCCAGGCGGTCACAAAGCACTGAGCTGATATCCCTGTGCCATGCGGCTGCTTCCCACTAGCTATCTACCTTACTACGTTTGTTAGTGTGTATATGCCCATGACTCTCTCTCGCCCTGTCACAGCTTACCCTTCCCCCTCCCCATATCCTCAAGTCCGTTCTCCAGTAGGTCCCAAATTCGTAAAAAATTCATTTTCAGAACTTGAAAATATGAAATTCATGTATTACCACAGAATATTATCGGAAAAAAAAAGTTGGACAGAAAATACGTCTTATTTGCTTTCCATAATTTTACTGACAAACTCAGAAAACAGAAATTTCCAAAATATTACTAAAATGGTTAATGTATTTAGCTTCATATTACATTTTGAGAAACTTTATAAATAAATTGTACAAATTACTAAGACCGTAAGACTGAAGGAACTGAAGGAATAAGTAAATATGTAACAGGCATAATATCGTTTAAAATATCCCTGGAAAATTTTAGTTATAGGTCTATTATATTTGGGGGGATTGTATGGCTATAGTTTGTTATAATCTTGGCTCTTTGCTATAACTTAAAATTTGGTGCCATTAAAGAACATTTACAAAACAGTTGCTTTAAGAGAAGCATGCTTCGAAAATTATTTATATGATACCTACTCTTGGCCCCAGTTCTCCAAAGGATCCAATTAGTCCTTCTTCTCCCTTAAAAAAGAAGATCAGAACATGTCATGGCCTGATAATAAGTATTTAAAGATGTAAACCTTATTCCATTTATCCTGAAATCTGAAGCTCTTTCTGAGATATAATGAAAATAATACTGTGATTTTCTTGTATTTTAGAACTATATCACCCCATAATGTTTAAATTTTTTGTGTGACAACCTCATATCTACATTAAGGGGGATATGTATCGTACTACTGGGTTATTTTTCAATTGGTAGATGATATAAGTTAAATATAGAAAATTGAGGGCAGCTAAGAGTGAAAGTGATTAGGGTATCACAAAAATCAGGATTAGGAATCACTGAGATTGTGAATTATGGACAGCCTTTACCTTCTTGGTCTCAATACCTCTGACATAGAGAGAAACTCAAGTTCTTAATAGATGGAAATCAATACACATTGGTATATTAAAAAATTATTGGTACAGAACATGTTTGCTCTTGGCACATTCTGATACTTAATTCATTCAGCAAATATGTTTTTGAGTCTCAGTTCTGTCTTAAGCCTTAGAGATAAAGGTATATCAGATCTTACTCAAATGGAGCTTAATATCTAGAGTTTCTTTTTGTCTAATTTACAGATCCAATATTTTCGGGATCAAATCAGTTATAATGTCATAAAATATAAAATTTTGTGCATTCTTCTAAGGATTAAATGCTGTATGGGTGGATAGAGAATAGAAAAACTTAAATAATTTTTATACTTTTTCTCTAAGAGAATTAAAAAGTAATAAATGTGTTTATTCTATTTATTGACATATTTTCTAAACATACTGATTTTTTACCTTTAAATAAATAGTTCATATTTACCACATCTGAACATTTACAGACCTCTTTAGAAATCATATATTCTATTTTATTTATTTTAAAACATTTTGCTCAGTCCATAATTCAATTAAAATATAATATATGGGTTAGAAATATAGACACAAATGTTAAATATAAATTCTGGTACATATAAGTGAGATTCTAGGCTCAGATTCTTCGGACATTCCATGGACACCACTACATAAATCACTTAATGAATTCAGAACATTAAAATGATTCCAAATTCCGTTCCATAACTGTGAATATAAAATGGTAACTTGAAATCCTCGATGGCAAAAATTGTCCATACTAATGCAAAGTTTTCTTTGAGCAAAAACTGAAGTCCCACAAAAAATAAAAAAGGAAAATCTGAATTAAAAAGTTGCTTAAAGGAACTTCATACCTGAGTTCCTTTGAGACCAGGAGGTCCAGGAGGCCCTCTATTTCCAATGAGTCCCTGTAAAGCAATATAAGGACACACAATAAAATTTTTAGCTCAATTAATACATTTTCAATAGGCATTAATCTCAGATGTGCAATACTATTTGGCACCACTCATTTCCCATTAGGAAGTTATCAAAATGGGATGGGAGGATAGATAAGCAGAAAACTGCCTGCCATCCAAAAAGTTGGAAAATATATGATAAACTTACTTTTAAACAGTATGTTAATGTTCACATAATCTGCTCTGTATGGAGACACCTTTTCATAAAAAGTACTCCTAAATTTAAAGCAATAGGCCCAATTGTTAATCTGATACTAGTACAATAAAAAGATAATAGAGTGTCCACAAAGTCTGAAAACAGATGGAGAAGATATATAGTGTTTTAATATCTGTTAAGAGACTAGCAAAGTCTGGAACACATTATTCATATGAAATGTTCAACTTACTTCCTTTCTTGATGCAGGCTAGTGAAAAGAGAGGAAAATTTGCAGAAGAAAGTAACAATCTGAACATGATTAGGAATTTCAAGATTAAAAGAAAACTTTTGTTAATCTAAATGCATGTTGTTAAAAATCAAATACTCTATTTTTTTAATTTACTTTTTTTTGGCTGTGCCACGCAGCATGTGGGACCTTAGTTCCCTGACTAGGGATCGAACCTGCACCCCCTACAGTGGAAGTGCAGGGTCCTAACCACTAGACCGCCAGGGAAGTCCTCAAATGCTCTTTGAATAACAATTCATCCAAGTAACTAATACAAAAATCTTCCTATTTCAGAAAACACTGTATATCATCTCTTCAACATGGCAACATTTTTCATTTTGTTCTGTTCCCCTAACTATGCAATGTGTCAAAGTTTTAAGTAAATCTCTTTTAAAAACTACCTTTGCATTATTGCTTTTAGTAAGTCTATAACCATTAAATGGTTTTATCTCATTTTTAACTGTAACAAATAACTATGCCAAGTAGCAGTTCTACCCAGGTGACTGATCTTTAGTTTGGAATGGAGCAGAGTGACAAAACTGCATGAGAATCTTTCCTTCATGATATATCTTGGTCTATCATTGCTGTGTTCTAACACAATCAAAAAATGAAAAACTTCATCGGTTTAAAAGTCTGTAATATATTATCACAGGCTTATTCTGTACATAAGCACCATTCAAGAAACTGCAACAGTTTAGGCAATAACCTAGAAGTTTTGCACAGTTTCTTACTTTTAATAGGAAGAGATGGATTATTGAAATGAGCGTATACTGTTCTATGCAAGTCCAACATATATTCATCTTTTTTCAGGCAAAAGCATCCTAATTTTCCTTAAGGAAACAGTCTTTCCCCATGTGGTTTGAGGGGAGATGACTCTACCCCTGACTAAATTTAAGGGTGGACATGTGACAGGGACCTAAGTCAGCATATTCTACATCCCTAGAAGCAGTGGTTGGTTCAGTAATGAGCCAGAAACCCAAGTTAGTCCAACTAAAGAAAATTTTGGACTACAGTGGAACAACTGGGAAGACAGAATAGCATTAAGGATGATGTAAACCTAAACAGAAGGGAACTATGAAGGGGAGAGAACCTGAGAATGAAATCAATGAATTAACAAATGGAGTGATTGGGTTCTTACGATATTTTTGGGGGTCCTGAGTATAGTTGTGTTTGAATTCCTAAACTTCTCACATATTTATACAATCATATTTTAGTTGAGTTTCCATTACTTACAACTGAAAGAATCCTAATGGATACAATGACTTCTAAATCTTAATATCCAAAATGCTCTTGTAGAACTCTAAGTAATAGGTTTTTAAATGTTTAGACTGAAGGTCAGAATCAGAATGCTGTGATATTTAAATTCCACCACAGGATAGCTAATGTTTAGTTATTTAATTCATGTGTTCATTCATTTTTTTCATCTGACATTTTATTAATTTTCTACTATGTGTAAGGCCCAGTAAAAAGTACAACATGAGGCCTGGAGTATACAAATATAAATAAGACACAGTCCCTGTTCTCAATGAATTCATAATTTATTATGGGAGAAGGCAATTTAAAATAAAAATCAGAATACGAGTTGTAACAGAAATAGAAGTATAAGCAAAGTGAAAAGGGGGACTTAGATGAAGAAGCAAAATCTTTTCTGGGAGGATCAGAAATTTTGTAACATGTGAAAATAATTTTGTATTGAATTATGATAGGTTAATAAAACATGTAGTTAAAAATAAGAACACATCAAAAACTTATCAACAATTGCAAGGTCTCAAAAGCCATTGATAAAGGTACAGTTTTAGTTTGGAGCATATGTTTAAGAAACTGGCTTAGCTCCACACCCAGGGTGTAACCAGAAGAGGGGTGAGTTATCTAAGAGAACTAGATTCTGCTATTCCCTCACTGCAGCTATTTACCCTAGGGAAGTGGTACCCTGACTAAAAACCAAAAATAACCCTTTCAGGGAGGCAAATAAGCCCAGGTTCCTTTTTCCTTTCTCTTCCAAGACTACTTTATAATCTTAAAAGAATAAAAGCTGTATTAAGGGGGAAAAAAACTAGTTATATGCTGTTTACATGAAACGCATCCAAAACATAAAAATGAGGAAAGTTAAATTTCAAAGAATGGGAAGAGATATGCAAGTGATTTACCAGCCCCAAAATAGCTGGAGTAATTATATTAACATTAGATCTAATAGGTTTTAAGGTAAAACAGATTATTAGCATTAAGAGGGTCACTCAATAATGATAAAAGGCTATGTTCACTAGGAAGAGAAAAGACAATTTTTATGCATTTAGTAACACAACTTCTAAATATATACATTAAAAACTGATAAGGATAAATCCACTATTAGAGAGGAAATTTTAACACATCTCTGCCAGAAATTAGTAGGTCAAGCAGATAAAAATCAGTAGGAACAGAAAAAACTTAAATAGCAAAATTAATGAACTTGATCTAATGGCCATATATAGAAAACTGAATCCCCAAATTGGAGTTTACACAGTCTTTACAAGCATACATGAAAGATTTATGAAAACTAAAAGATACCCACAAGAAAGGATATCTATCAACAGTTCTATCAATTAAAAAAGTGTAGTATATCTATACAGTGTGTTACTATATAGTGAAAATGAACATGCTGTAATAATATGGATCAACCTAGAATGAGATGAAAAGATAAGATTGAGTGAAAGAAGAAAGTAACTGAAGAATGTATATACAGTAAGTCCCCTATATACGAATGAGTTCTGTTCCGAGAGCACGTTCGTGAGTCCAATTTATTCCTAAGTCCAACGAAGTTAGCCTAGATACCCAGCTAATATAATCGGCTATATATATCACTGATGCTTTTATGCTTGCTTCTGGACATCCTGGGCTTGAAATAAAGATACTGGACTACTGTACTCTGTACAGTACTGTACAGTATACAAAAGCACAACCACTTGTAGAGGACACACGCACGTGACAATGTACACCAGACACATGAACTAACTTACGTGATTGGACATGCAAATACACATTTCTCATCTTTGAAAGTTTGCAACTTGAAGGTTCATATGTAGGGGACTTACTGTAGTATGATTTTATTTATATGAGTCTCAAAAACAAGCAAAATAACAAATATTATCAGTATATACATGGTAAAAGTATGACGAAAACAAGAGAATGGTTAACTGTTAATGCCAGAAGGGAAGAGACAGATATGATTAGTAAGGGATGCACAAGGGGATTCCAATGATCTATTTCTTACCAATAATAGGGTTTGTTTCATTATTATTTTTAAAACTGTGTACATGTTTTATATTTATCATGTTAAACACAAAAAAATTTTTTTTGAGTTTTTAAAGGTTTTCATCTTTTTTTATTGGGGTATAGTTGCTTTACAATGTTGTGTTAGTTTCTGCTGTACAGCGAAGTGAATCAGCTATATGTATACATATATCCCTTCGTTTTTGGATTTCCTTCCCATTTAGGTCACCACAGAACATTAAGTTCCCTGTGCTATACAGCAGGTTCTCAATAGTTATCTATTTTATATGTATTAGTGTGGTGTCCGTATGTTTGTTCTCTACATCTGTGTCTTTATTTCTGCCTTGCAAACAGGTTCATCTCTACCATATTTCTAGATTCCACATATATGCGTTAATATATGATATTTGTTTTTCTCTTTCTGACTTACTTCACCCTGTATGATATATACAATGGAAACACATAAAAATTTTTAATGTAAAATATATAAAATCTGAAATTGAGTTTGAATTCCAGCTCTGAAGCTTACTAGGGGCATGACCTTAGTATCCTTATCTGTAGAATCATGTTATCATAAGCATTATAAGGTAATAAATTTTATTTGTTACAACAAATAAAATGGTACCTGGAATATAACAGAGACTCAATAAATATTATTTCCTTCTTCTTATTCACTGCACATTGATTAGTGTTTGCAACAGTTTCTGAACTGGTATTTTGCTTTTCTTCCCTATGCATTCCCCAAATTCATTAACAATAATTTACTATTATTATTCTTCCTAAAACATCTCTTTCATCATCTCACTCCTCTCAATATCTTCCACAGAGAAAAAGAGTAGAGCTCTTGTATGCAATTGAAGTTAAGTTGTTATCAGCTTAAAATAGAGCATTGTAACCATAGGCTGTTTTATGTAAGCTCCATGGTAATCACAAAGAAAATACCTATAAAAGATACACAAAAGGAAATCAGGAAGGAATCAAAGCATGTCACTACAAAAAAAAAAAAATCAATGAAACATAAAGGAAAATAGCAAGAAATGTAAGAGGGACAAAGAAGTTACAAGACAGAAAGCAATAACAAGTAACAAAATGACTATAGTAAGTCCTTCCTGATCAGTAATTACTTTAAATGTAAATGGATTAAAGTCTGCAATCAAGATTTAAAGTGGCTGAATAAAAAAAAATCCATAGTTGTATCTATGAGAGACTAAATTTAGATTTAAGGACATACATAGGATGAAAGCGAAAGGATGGAAAAGATACTCCATGCAAATGATAACCAAA